TTGAGTCAGGCAGAATAAAACAATGTATTACAACCAGAACAGAGTGGCCAAATTAGCAATCAAAACCAGAATAAAATAACTGAATTCCAAATTAAATAAAATTAAACTGAAACAGATCTCATCATCAACAACAACAAAATGAAAAACTTTCTACCTAACAAGATATATATTACCAGGAGAATTAACCACTGCATGAGAGCAGGAAGGTATATTTGACTGACATTTACCAACTTGTGGATGAAATCCTGCAAATACTCCCACATTAAAAAACCTCTACAGAAACACATTTCTACATACAGAAAACTAGCAGTGAAAAGGCTGAGCTACAATCTGTCCCTGATGTCTAGTTTTTTCACATGGCACTTTTAAAAATGTGCACTTTCCAGTGCACATGGTGCTTCTACTGTGATCTTTCCTAAACCGGTTTTGGGGAAAGACTGCAGCAAAGCAGTGGGGAATGGCGGAAGCATGACAAATAAGAGGACCACATCATGTGGATGGTTCCCAAAGTAGCACGCTTGTAAAGAAGCCAAAGCAGAGCAAAAAACAGTTACAGGAGATACTCAATTGCATCATTTGAAGGAAGTCAGTTCACTGTCATGGTGCTACTACTGAAAAGGCCCTGCATTTGCTACAGATACCTACAACACCTACAGCAAGGATTAAGATCTCAACAGGTTCTGCTGGGACAGGTCTTTAGAGTCTGACTTAATGCTAAATTGCTGAACCAAGCTTGTAAGAAACTACATTTATCTAGGCCAGCTTTTGATAGGTACCATAAACAGCCATAGCAAACACACTGCAGTGACTCACACTGCAATCCTGTGTAGAGTTACTCCAGTTCAAGTCCTTTGATTTCAATGGGCTTGGACTGGGGTAACTGTGCATAGGATTACAGTGTAAATCTCTCGTGCTAAGTACATCAAACGGGGCTTAGTGTCAATGTCTGAAAGGCATTTCCTCATAATACTCACCCACACTTGTGGAAAGAGATTTGTTTGCAGACACCAGTGCCAAAGTAAACAGCAACGGCCAAAGATCCATACTTCTGGATTCCACAACTGTAAAAAGAGACAACTGCATTAGGCTCTTTATAGCAAAGTCTTTTAAACATGTAAATGTTGATTCACCTGTCTGCTAGTTTATTGGATTTCTGGATGGAGTTTGGCCAAGATTTATGAAGGAAGCAGATTATAATAAATGTTATTGCCTTGTAAATGTCTATGATATATTAACAGTGTAAGAGGCAGGAAATCCTAGGCCTGGAGACTGAAGATTTTTCAGGGCATAAATGAGGTGGGATCCTGCCAAATTTTCCACGGTCTCTTCCAGTCCAACATGCCTTTTGCCCGTGAAGGCCCCATGATCCCCATCTAGGGTTGCTAGCACTGCCTCAGAAAATGATGGAAAATTCTGAGGGGTTGCCTGGGGAGGGTGAAGTTTGTGGAGTATTATATGCCACTTCTGGCAAAGTTTCCCAGGTTCCTTGAGGAAATGAAACGACCATTTATTCAGCTACCCAGTGTAGATATGTTCACAGTCTCCACGGTACATCAGAGACTCAGAATTCATTCATTTGGCTGGGGCATAATAAAAAAGAAAGAAAAAAGAATTCACCAATTTGACCAAAATTGAGTACTTGTAAAAAACCCATTTATTTCAGTGCTTAAATCTCTCCCTTTGATGTCAACAGACCATAAAAGTGTTTAAATCTGACTGGATTGCCACCTGCCTGTTTTCTTAATTCAATCATTTCACTGTAAAACGAAAGAATAAACAGAAATATACTGCAGCACTCTGGTTCCTCAGTGGAAAGAAAGAACACCTCCCCCTGCCGCCCCCCCCCGCTCCAGTTTATCCTTTAATTCACTGACAGGCCATGTGGTGCAGTAGTTAGAGTGCTAGAGATAGCTGGGGAGGCCTGATTTTAAATTCTTTCAACATGTGGCATTGGGACAAGTTGTTCTCCCTCAGCAGAAGCTTCCTCGCAGCAGTTCTGTGAGAATAAAGCAAGAAACCTAGGGTTGCCAGGTGGAATTGTCATGCCAGCAGGGGGATTGGGGAGGGGGGTAGAAGTGGGTGGCAACATTCTCGATGCAATGATGTCATGTGGAAGTGGGCGACGGTCTGCCTTTTGGGCAAACTCTATGGTTAAAATTGGGCTCAAACCATAGAGTTTTGCTCAAGAAGCAGAGCACTGCTGCATGATGTTGCCGATATGATGGCAGCAGGGGTGGGCAATCGGGGGATCTCCCACCCGGACCGGGGTCTGGGAGCCATAAGGAAAACTCCCAGCCGGCTATACTGCTCTGAGCTCCAGGATGGGAGATATTTAGATATAGTACTTAATCAGAGAAATAACCATCTTGGAACCACTTACGAGGTGAAAAGATGATACAATAATTTTATTTTTTTCTAAGTTTTATGTATTTTTCTGTACCAAGGCCCGCCTTCCCGCTCCTCAAATTAAGGCTTTCGTCATTTGTTGGCGCCGTCTTACGTTTTTCTTTTCACCATCTGGATAGTCAGGATGGTCCAGCCTGAGAAGTACCACACCAGCTTTGCATGCAAAAGGTCCCAGGATCATTCCCAACATCTCCAGCTAGCTCGGGTAGCATGGCTGGGAAAGACCTCTACCCAAATCTCAGTTAGGAAACTCCTGGTGCCTGAAGGGGGCCTGGGAGGGGAGGGACCTTTGCGGGGTACAGTGCTATAAAGTCCACCCTCCAAAGCAGCCATTTTCCCCAGGGGAACTGATCTGTGTAGTCTGGAGACCAGCTGTAATTCTACGAGACTGCCAGGCCCCACCTGGAGGTTGGCAACCATATCTATCCAAGATCCCATTGTGCACCTACCAATCAGATTTGGCAACACTAGACTAGACAAGCCAGTGCTCTGACTCAGTATTGGGTAGCTTGGTACAAACTAAAATTCTGTGTCCAAAATATGAGTTTGTTCAGCCATGCTGTTGAACTGGAATTACCCCTGTGTACTGTGGGCCTCTCATACACTCCCACCTAAGAAAACGATTCCACAAACTATTAAGAGAGCTGAAGAGTGAAGCATAATTCCCCCCCCCCCTAATGTTATGGTGAATACTACAGTGAAGATAGCCAGAGGGAAAACTACAGAAAACCATATTCATAAAAACAAATTCACAAATATCCCCATAGGTCAGTGATGGCGAACCTTTTAGAGACCGAGTGCCCAAACTGCGACCCAAAACCCACTTATTTATCACAAAGTGCCAACACAGCCATTTAACCTGAATACTGAGGTTTTAGTTTAGAAAAAACAACTCATACATTAACTTAAGATGATCCAAACAAAGTAAGGAAAGCAATCCCAAATGCTTTCATTTACTTAAAATTATTTGGTAGAGAATTCAACACTTCAATGATGGTCTGGGCCTGGCTGGGGTGATGGCACGCATGCCCACAGAGATAGCTTTGAGTGCCACCTCTGGCACCCGTGCCATAGGTTCGCCACCACTGCCATAGTTGAATGAATAGATGGTATGTTTTGGGTTTTTTGCCATCAAGTCATAGCTGACATGGTGACCCCATGAGGTTTTCAAGAAAAGAGATGTTCAGAGGTGGTTTACAATTGCCTGCCTCTGGGTCACAACCCTGGACTCTCTTGATGGTCTCCCATCCAAGTACTAACCAGGGCTGACCTCGCTTAGCTTCCGAGATCTGACAAGTTCAGGCTTAGTACACCTGGATGTGGAGGCTCGCCCTAGAGCACAAGCATGGGGACGGAGGAACTGGTTGAGAATGCAAGCCCATTTTTATCATATGGCTTATTTATGTCATGATTTGAGGCTGTGATCATGCACACAATTAGACCCAATATAGGTGCGAATGCTGGGTGGATCAGAAACAACATCTGGGAAGCGTCCCACAGCCGTAGGCAACCCGTTCTGCTCCACCGCAGAAGCGGAGTTAAAAGACACCAGGGAAAACCCAGTAGTTAATGGGTTGCAATGGGCCACGGATGGACTTTCCCGTGTCTGATCACTCCAGCGTGCTCTCTTGGCTTTGGAGTGGTCTGAACAGGCCATCCTGACTCCATGCCGTTGTTCCCCCCCCTCGCAGTATGCACATCACTGCAAACTCCATAGGGAGCCCTCGGTGCAGAGGTGCGATTCATCGATCTCTCGTTTAAGTGCATGGGGGGGAAACGGCACACACACACAAAAAACCCCTCATCCACAGTTGCATCTGATCAAGCACTGGTGGACTGCCCCCGCAGCTTCAAAGGGAGGTGTGATTGTGCAACTGCGGGTCAAATTCCTCCAGAGGAAATAGCCTCCCCCCCATTTTTTTCTGGCCCGTGTATGGCTATTCAGTTAAATCTTTAATTAGCAGCTGCAAGAGCGAGATAGGGCAGTTGGCTGATAAAGAGAAGAACAGCACTGTTGCAGCTGTAGTCACCTGTTAGATTGTATGCATACTTGGTGGAAATGACTGACACTACACAAGGGGGTGCATTATATGTGAGCAGAGATGCTAAGGGCTTCACAGTAAACATGTTTGACAGGCAGACATGCATTTTCCTGCCAGCTGCAATTACTTATAGGTCAAGCTTTGGACCGGCTTGTCTTGCCTTTGATGTTCAGCACCCAATGTGACCATCATGTGGTGGTGGGATCAGTTCCCCTGGAGGAAGCGGCCATTTTGGAGGGTGGGCTCTTGGCTTCACTTCCATGTTGAGCTCCCTCTCCTCCCCAAATTCCACCCTTCCTAGGCTCCACCCCCAAATCCCAGGAGTTGGCAACCCTAAAAAATAGGCATGTATGAAGTCCTGCAAATCCAGTCAAAATCAGCAGCTATTGCTGTTGATCAGACCAATACAGACAAACCACCTAGTGGCAAGACTTTAAAAAAATTTAAAATTGCACAGTGCTTATTTCTAGATGATTGACTGTCGCTGTTTATTCTTTGTTTAAACAGTGAATGCATTAAGCTGCCTTGTTCAGAGTAAGACCACAGTCTATCAAGTTTGTACACATACACATGAAGCTTCCATGAAGCTTCATGCACAGCAGCCTCATACTGAATCAATCCATCAGTCCATCAAGGTCAGTATTTTCTACCTTAACTGGCAACGGCTTTTTATGGCCACCGGCAGAAATCTTTCACAGCACCTCCTCTCTGATCCTTTTATGTAGGTATGTCAGGGGTTGACCCTGGGACTTTCTGCATGCAAAGCGAGTGCTCTAGCAGTGAACTGTGGCCCCTCCTCAATTGGTGGAGTGTGGCAAGACAGCAGCCTTGGATGGGAGAATTAATGTACACTGTGTATGACTATCTGTATGCATAGGAAATAAGCGGGTCAACATGTTCATGAGCTACCTGAACTGCCAGATGAACAACTGGCTTCCTGCTTGCCATGGGGAAATGTATTTCTAACACATTGGACAATTTTCACGCGCCTCCATAACAAGGAAGGCTGTTGCATGTGGGAATCTCATTTGATTTTCATTTGAAAATCCTCCTGTTCTGAATTTGCTCCTCCCTTGTGCAAATCAAGCCTGCAAGTCTATATTTTCCTACCATTTTTCTATTCCCCCCGGACCTTTTTTCTCCTGCTAACCGTATGTAATTTTTACTGTCATTTTTGCCTTTGATTACAGCTAAAGGAGCAATGGCTCAAAACGGCATCAAAGCGGCTGCTAAATTCGAATTTGGAGCGCTTTGAAAAGCTTTAAAAGTCCTAATTAGATTTGACTTGGCCTGCCTACATTCCTTATCAAACCAACTGTTAAAATGAGGGCTCCTTACATGGGACTTATAAACTTCTTTTGAAAAAAGAGGGATTAGTGAGGAGGTTAAATTGTTATATGTCGACAAAGGTTTGCTTGGTTTGCAAAGCTACTAAAAAGGGATTTCCCTTGTTCTGACAAGGTCCACCTAAGGAACTTATCATTTAGCTCCTCGTTCCACTTGAGTTTCTGTCTACTTGTCATTACTGCTGAAGCTGAATACGGTTCGCGACTATTAGAAGAGCCAACTAAATCCTTAGGCCACCTCAATACAAGCGGGAGGTGGTCGCTTTC